TTGTCTCACCGGTTGGGGCTGGGTTTGGATTGGTCTCACCGGTTGGGGCTGAGGAGCTGTTGTTTCCCTTAGGTTGTTTAGGAGGTGACATATTATCTGAGATCAGTAGAGATTTGCAAGAAGGGCAATCTAATCGTTTAGTACCGTGCCGGCATTTGATTTGAGAGATGTCGCGGGTTTTGCACTTTACGCATTGATGAGCAAATACACTATGATTGCAAGTGAGAAAATTGATTAGTTGGTTGGGTTGAGAACGTGTCATCCGTAGATTTTCGGCGAAAGATACAGAGATAGTCACTTTCGATCCATGATAACCCGGCTTCCTCAAAGGAACACTAGTAATGGTATGGAGGGGAGGTTAGGTTGGATGGCGCACGTGTTTCACAAAAACTAGACAAATACGACGTAGTCGAGTAAAAGTAAAGCTAGAAAGTCACGAGACGCGATTACGAATCCCGGAGCGCACTTCCGCGATATCGAGAGCTCTAAAACTATGAGCACAAAGTCAAGGAAAAGGTAGAAATCAGAACATGACAACAAACTCCCGATTGATCGGACCTCGATAAAGACTTAGACAAAGAGGAAGGAACTATGAAAAACAAACGCAAAACGACCTAGACCAACAAACAAAAACAACAAATGCTCAAGGACCAATCAGAGACTCGCAAGAGGTAGTTCCAGATAAGCCGCTTGGAGCGCCTCGTTCGTCTAGCGGGCTTTTTGAATTTTGAACCATCGTTGCGTCAAATAAATTACTTCAGTGATCTTATGATTTGCATGGGCGTAAATAGGAGGGGGGCCTGCTATCTTCATGAATAAGAAATTTACGCGGCCCCTCCCCACAGATGTGAGAGATTTTACTATGTAAGTGCGTGACATCTTTTTATCTTTGAAATTGTAATCGGATCAACTTTTCGGTGGGAACAGCTCAAAATCGCTCGAGTTTACTAAACTCTCCGAGGGAGGCCCCTTTGATCCCTGTTTGAAGCAAAACACCCCCCCCCCCAAACTCTCCTCAGGAACTGAAGGAGTAGAACCCCCATGATAGGTGCCCCTCTGCCCCTCGATATTCTGTTTAAGATAAGGTAACTAATCAGTCTAGTTTAACCGTCTTAAATTTTTAATGGTTTAATTGCATTAACATTGCGTCGGTAACAGTTAAAAAAATACGGTATATCTCGGATAGTGACGTTGAAGATCTCCTCATATTATTTGAACTTCACTTTGCAGTTAGGAACTACAATCTCTTGCTCAGTTTAGAAACAACATGTGGCTCATTAAGCTCTATTTTTACGGGCCACTGAATATTTTTTAGGGGCCAAATGACGTTTTACCTAACTATCACGGCGCATTCCATGAAAAGTTAGACGCAAGATGTTTTAGTAACAGAACAGGTAGCTGTATAACTTGGGAGAAATTTCGAAAAATCACCAAACAGAAAAATTGGGATTTTTTTTCTAGGGGAGGGGGGAGGGCAATTTTTAAGGGTCATGTTGGCGTAGAGCCTTCAATTTTAGGCGCCATGACCGAATTCTTAGGCGCATTTGGCCCGTGAGTTTCGAACACTGTATCGAATTAACAATCGATCGGTCGTTTGCGAACCGCGTGGGCAGTGGGAAAATTGCGGAAGCTACGAACTTGAATAATGGACGGTGTAAAATTTATGCCTTTTCGATCAAAATGCGCTCTAATTTTGCATACTTCTTCCGAAGTTGGGAACGCGCGCTGCCCTACGCATTTCCAAATATCATACGCCTCACGACGCACAATGGGTCAAGTCAGTGGGAGAAATCGGACAAAATTTGGAAATTTTAAAAGCTTATAACTCCATTTAAGCAAAACTTTGAAATTTTAAAAGTGGTTCCATTGGTTTTCCCGTGAAATCTACTTCCAGAAGCACCCCATAAAGTTTAAAATGTGACGAATTACGCATCTAAAGGTGCAGTTTCAGTTAAAAATGTCATATCTGACCTCTCTCTGATTGACTCGATCCACTGTGCGATGGAACTTACAAAGCGCGATTCGCAAGTCAGGAGCCGAGATAATAGTATGCCAGAGTATATAGAGATCTGGGAGACGACGCGATGCTTGAAGTATACCTACAGTTTTGTAGGCGCTTTCAGCGATCGTTTGTCGCGCAAAGTTTGAAGTTTCGGAAATTTTCTTCGGAAGATGAGGGCCCTTTTCACTGATCCGGTCACAATAAAGCAACAAAGCTGTCTCGCGTATCCACAAAAATGGGGAAAGAGCGTGGTTTTTCACCCGTTCATTTAGAGAATTCAACGCAGAGTAGAAAAGTTGGATGGGGCGAAACGCGTGATAATCGAAGCGGGATTTTTCGCTCTTGTTTCGACTTATAGGTATGTAAAATTACGTATCCACAAAATGAAGGAGAACCTAAAATCTTTTCGGCTGACTCAGAGACTTTGACGCAGAGTAGAAAAGTTGGATGAGGCGATAAACGTGATCCGACTATTTTGACTTCCAAGAGGATAAAATCCCATATCCACAAAATGAAGGAGTGCATGGTGTTTTTACATTATCCTACCTATCCGGTTCGTCGAACCCAACTTTCGGTTCGTGTAACGGAACGTTCAGTTTGTAAAGAAATGATGAAAGAAGTTCGGTCACATGCGAACCGAACGTTCAATTACTCGAATCAAAAAATCGGTTTTATTCTAAAAAGTGAACGCTCAACGTACTGATCTTTACGAAAACTTATGCCGCAGATGTTGATATTTTGTAAAGATTGAAAAAAAAAAGAAAAAAAAAAAGAAAAGAGGATAGTAGGGAAATAATACGGTTGTTGTCGTAGGCGGAATCGGGCCTCATTTTTTAACTTTTCTCCCGAATCTGAGCGGCACCTCATTGGCAGTGTAGTTCACGCCTCGCGCCATCGCGCCTTCAATTTTGCAGACGCAACACGGACATCCATCAAGTACGAATAGTTGTATGTCTGCGCCGTCGTCAACGGCCATCCTGTACGTTGCTCTATTTCCATGTTTTGTTAGTTCCGTTTGTCTTATTTGTAGTGGTGCTTCAACGGCCACTTGAACGATACAGACGGAGATAGGAGAGACGTTAACGGGCCTCGTTTTTTAACTTTCCTCACGAAAATGAGCGACACCTCATGGGCAGCATAGAGCGGATCATTACGAGTTCACGCCTCGCGCCATCGCGCCTTCAATTTTGCAGACGCAACACGGACATCCATCAAGTACGAATAGTTGTATCTCTGCGCCTTCTTCAACACGCGTCCTTTCCCTTGCTCTATACCCTTGTTGTATTTGTGTTCGTTCGTCTTATTTGTAGTGGTGCTTAAGGGCTCCGTGAGCAACGCAGCACAAGATAAGAGAGATGTAGTCGGGCCTCGTTTTTTAACTTCTCTCCCGAATTTGAGCAACACTTCATTGGTTGAAGAGGGCGGAGCATTGCGAATTCATGCGTCGCGTCTCTAATTTTGCAGCTGCAACACAGACATCCATCAAGCACGAATCTTATATCTCTGCGCTATCATCAATACACGTTGAGGTGTTTCCGATTTTCGACGTTTGAGAAAATCCAAGGAGAAGTATGCCAAAAATATGCTCGTGTCCAGAGATGGAAAGTGAAGTTTCATTAGGATCGAATAAATTTCACTAAAGTTGAAATTTATTAATATTTTTTAGAATTATTGATTAACCCTTTGGAGGTCTGAAAGCGTTTCAGATGGTCTTTCTGTTGATGCTGCAGTATTGTGCTACTCTGCTGAACACACAAAGAGGGGGCAAAAAGGGGAATTTAGAGAGAAGAACCTCAACCTAACCTCTAAACTAAACGAAAACATTTGCAACGCGCGAATGTTTTAGGCTTGGGGTAAAAAATTTCAAAATTTAGAATCACTGTTTCTAGGCGTTTCTTAGCCTCCTGAATGTATCCCCAAAAGTTTCAATAAATTTCATGAAATTTCGTGAAATTTCACTCGAATAAATTTCATGAAAAATTCCGTCTCTGCTCGTGTCCAAATCAATAATCATTCGCAAAAAGAAAAAGGAAAAAAGGTAAACATTTGTTAATGGGCCTTTGAAGCGCCCTTAAAAGTGCACCTTTGATTCTAGGTGAAATTGCCCGATGTTTCCCAGGTTTCCCGATGACTTCTTTCCGGAAAACAGAGCAAGGGAACGGACGCGCGTTGATGACGGCGCAGAGATACAACTATTCGTACTTGATGGATGTCCGTATTGCGTCTCCGAAATTGAAGGCGCGCTGGCGCGAGGAGTGAACTCTCAATGCTCCGGCCACTTTCCCGATGCAAGGGTGCGGATTGTTCTTGATGACGCGCTCATGATCGCGTGGCCCTTCGCACGCAAATTGAGGAAGGCTGTCAAAAGTGGGGGAGGCTTTTACTTTTGCAGCACTAGAAAAAAAACAAAAAAAAAACACATTGGATCTAGAGTCTCGACTCTTAAAAACATCGACAAGAAAAAATACTCTTGATTCAATCAGATTTAAGCTTAAATCAAGAACCAAGCCTCTTAATTTGAGCGGATTTTCTTTTGATTTAAGCTTAAGTAAATCTGATTGAATCAAGAGTTTTTTTTCTTGTCAATGTTTTCAAGAGTCTGGACTCCAGATCCAATGTGGTTTTTTTTCCGGTGCAGAACTTTCTGCACCCCCGCCCGATGACATGAGGGAACTTTCCCGTTGTATCCCGGGAACTTTCCCACCACTTGAGTTCCCCGGGAAACTTTAATCCCTACCTTGAGGCGACTCGACCATAGGGCAAAGGCCTTTGCGTCAAAGCACCGACAAATTCCGATCGGTACAATCGTAACCAGGAGTGAAACTTGGCATTGGCGCGTCGAGTCGCAAGTTGTAGTTGCGCTTGCGTTCATTCGCCTCGCTTCGCGTGCGTTTGTTTTGT